GTGCTTTCGTGTGGTAGACCAAGGGTTTAAATCCTCTGTACGCTTTTTGTGTGTGTCTGTCTGGGACAGGGGTAAAATGCTAATCTCAACAGTCTGTCTCGATTGCTATGCAATCCTAAAGTTCAGATGCCCGCCCCCCCCCCCCCCCCCCCCCCCTCCACATATTCCTTGCCTGCACTGCAACAGTTTTAAATGAGTAATGACAGTTAGCACCGTTCATGTTGGTTCGTTGGTTCATGTTACAGCATATATCGATTTACAATAATGGTATTTTTTTTTGCATACATTATCCGGGGGTTTAAAAAAAAAAGCCCCTGAATGAAGTTATTTGCACGTATTGCTTTCACCTACTGCTTACCCTTGCAGCTGTTGCAGTTATAAAATGTGCGAATATTATTTTATAACTGTTACTTTATAACATTGCCTCGGTCATGCAGTGAGTAGACTGAGAGAAGAGGTTAGGTTTAAATCTGCAATGGAAACAGTATTTTTTTAAAATAAAGATCTGGGCACTTAAGTTGACCCAGGCTATCAGTCAGGGTTCCAAATTAATCGCAGACGGTTGCCCCGTAATTGCTGCATTCCAATTTGCCAGTGAAAATCGCTCAAACTTTGTCACTGTTCCAAGGAAAAGGCCAGACAGCAGTCCCGTCAAAATCCAACAGCTCACACATGCATAAAATGCATAAGGCAGTCACTAGAGATGCCTACAACTGCAGACTCACTAGAATTGCTATTCAAGTTTGTTGATGGAAGCAGCAGTCATGACATACCAGCAGGTGCTCAGGCATTGATGCATATGGTACACCATTAGTTCTGTGGCACGAGCCAATTGCCATTTCTGAAATATGTAGTTTACACAGCACAGAAGTAAATAGTCCTCATGAAGTTCATAGCTGACAGTGTCACACTGATTAACTCAGTAGCTGGTCGACGGAACCAGATTTTGCATCTACCTCATTTGTGTCCTGTCCAGTTTGTAGATTTTGGTTAAAACCCTGACCTTCCGCTTGATTACTAGGAAGTAACAGGGCCCACCGTGGCGAAATGGTCAAGCCATTTGCCTCACACTCTGAAGGTGGTTGGTTCATTTCACGGCAGCGCCCTTCAGTTCTGCAAGTTTTACGGAGATCCATGGAGGTCATCACAGGAGCTAGAGAGTTTGTGCTTCTCTTGGCAGGTGGCTAGTCGTTCTGCAAAGAGAAGCCCCGATATGTGGGATAAAACCCGGTGCAGTGAAGTTGATCCTCTCGACTTTTTAACTTTAATAACCTTCAATAAGTAGGCTTTAGCTAGAGAGGCTTAGAGCTATAATAGTCTTATTGCACAGCATCGCTCCATTTGGACCCTTTTCATTCAGAAACTTTAGTTGGAGGTAAAGGGGACCAGCATGATTTAATCAGCATCACCCGTCAGACACTGATTGATCTGTAAAAAAATGTGTTTGTGCCAGTAGCTTGAGTTATACTGATTATCCTGTCATCCCTTTGTGGGATGCTATTTTTTGTTATTTGAAGCCCTTCTCAGGGTCTTGCCAGGGTCCGCAATATAGCCCAGCCATAACTATGGTCGAATGGCTGAACGCGGTTTCTGGGACCTCTCTACGGGTGATCCTCATCCACATGGTGCCACTTTGTGTCATCAGGTGTTTATCGCTTGTGTGATGTCCTGGTGGGGTAAAAGAAGATAGATAGATAGTAGCTTGAGAAAGGTCTCTACTTTTTGCTTTGTCTTCTTTATAATATTCTGCTCTGTTGCTGCATGAGATATGTCCAGTAGTAAATTGACAGTTCCATCTACCTCTAACTCTTATTTCCTTCTTCTACTTCATTTTCCTCCTTCTCCTCCTCCTCTTCTTTTTTTTTTCTCTTCATAATCATTTTTATTTTCTGTCTTGTTTTTTTTTTCTCCATCCTTATTACCCCCTCCCCCCCTCCCCCCCCCCCCCAAATCTTCTTCTTCCCCATCTCTTACAGCATCAGCGTTGTTCTCTGCACATTTTTGTTTTCTGTCTATTCTTGAGTAAAATGTGCATTTCCATATTTTTATTATTTGAGCCCAAACACCGGAAAACTTGCATTGGTTTGATGGTGATATCATAATCCTCTTATAGTTATTTGGCCAGTCTATAATACTGAAATGGTGAAACATAATAGTCTGCTCAAGTGTGTTTATGACTCACTGCATGCCGATCCATATTTTTGACTGTCTGGTTGCACGATGGACTTTGCACCTTGTCAGAATGTTGGTGAACTTTGCTGCTTTCATTTTTGTGATTGTAGGAGCCACAAGTATCATACTTACTATTTACAGCTTCCATTTTATATTTTCCTCCTCTGTTGTGTTTACTCACTGTCGACCATTTCTGGTGCCATACTCACCATTTACTCTCTGTCGTGCCATATGCTTTATTTACTAACCACAGTACTTGCTCTACTGACCTACGTTCATCTATTGATATCTTATCTCACACAACATACAATCATGTTACTTTTCTGTGTCAACGACTAGCTGATACCCCTGCACATGGACTTTATCTACAGCTGAATATGTTGACTTGGTGTAATACAAAGTTCACTCGAACACATACATGTGTGATTTCTCGGTGAAGTTCACTGGCTGAATAGTTGAGGATGTCAGTCACTTGTAGCACATTGAAGCCGCAGTTGCTAGCTGTGTGGGAAGTGCTGTTATAAATTGTTTAGACTGTAGGTTTTAAGGAAACCTGTAACAAGTGCTGTTGTAAATTGTTTCAGTTGTGTAGGTTTTAGAGAAACCTGTATCATTACACAGGTTTAGGCTGTAGGTTTTTAATTTTGCAATGACTGAGATGTTTAATATTAAGAGTCATTCCTCGGGTCATTGTATTTTGATTGTCCGTTAGTGTAGTATTACAATTTGAAGATTAGAAACACTTGATTTAATTACTGTTAGAATTTGTCCATATACTACCGCAGAGCTACATTAGTAGTTATTTTCTGGGGCTACTTTATAAGTGGATTGTTCTATTCTTCTGTTAGTTATGAAATTATTTATGTGGGGGTCCTCCATTTTTAGCCACGAGAGTTAGGGCTAAATATCTAGTGCAATTGCTATTATCTGCACGGTTAAAAATGTATTATTGCCTATGACAGACAAAAATCCCATTGCTCTGCCAGAGGATTCAAACCTGCGCCTTCCAGATGAAAGTCCAGCATTCTTGTTACCAGATGCTTCTTTATTTTGCTTATACTGTTTTTGATAAAATGTACAGCATTAGAGCAATCCTTGATGCAGAAACTTTGTTTACACTTTAACTAAAGATATATGCATACTGTTTAAATTAACAAAATGGGTATCTCAACATATTGATTTTCTATGTGCCCAGGAGAGATTACCATATTGATTATTACCAGCAGCATAAGCTTACTATTGATTCAGCCCAACTTCATTTTCTTTATTACAGTACCTACCTCTCTCCTTTCCTCCCATAAGAAGTACATATACTTTAATATATTACATATGAAGCTTCAAATCCACATCAAATCTATGCCACTTTGGTTGGTCCTGGGAATTGAAATGCAGTAATACTGGTTTCAGGGCACCATTCAAAAACATGTTGTCTGAACCTGTCAGCCAGTTGTAACCCCGTTTGATTGATGTATTTAATGCCACATCTATTGCAGTTGATAGCTTAAATTACATTACGGCTCATGCAATAGAATGCTTTACATATGTGGGTATTCGGGAATTCCAGGTTGGTACCCTAAAACACATATGGACAGGTCCTGCATACAAGTCTGTGGCAAGAGACTGGCCTAAAATGGGACTCGGAGGCAGGACGTAACCGACTCTTAACTAGAATGTCCTTGAGATTACTGTCATGCCTGTAGGCCACTAGAGGAAGTTCAGAGAAGATCCTGTCAGCGCTAAGGATGGAGAGATGCTTGAGGAGAATATTTTTAGCACAGATGTTGTGAGGGGGGTAGGTAAGTGTGAGAATGGGTCTGTTGTGGTGACGTTTAAGCTTGGAAACGAGAGCCCCAGCACGATGGATAGACCGTGCTCGGTGAAAGATATGTTCAGGATACCCTCGGAGCCGGAAGAAGTCCAACATTTCCAGAGCCTTGTGCTGAAAGTCGTCGTTTTCCTGGCATAGTTTGTGGAGGGGAAGAAGCTGCGAGAGAGAAGTGGAGATAATGCAGGAAGAGGGAGGACAGGACGTGTAAAGAAAAAAAAAAGCATAGGAATCAATAGGCTTATAGTACACCGAGGTGCTAAGACTTTTAGAGCCCAGTGTGACAGTGAGATCCAGAAAATGTACTAGAGAAGGTGAAATGCTGAAAGTGCAACGAATGCTGGGATGGAAGTTAAAGAAAAAATGAATGAAGTTTTGCAGTTCAGGTAGGGACGTATCGGTGACACCGATGCAATCATCGATATACCTCTTGTAAAGCTCAGGGAGCCTACCGGTATATACATGACATATCTGATGCTTGAGGTGGCCCATAAAGAGGCAGGCATGACTAGGCCCCATCTTGGTGACCATAGCGACACCACTGATCTGGTGGAAGTAGTGGCCATTTAACTTGAAAGAGTTTAGAGTGAGCACTAATTCAGCCAGACATATCAAGGGGTCAGTGTGGCTATAGCACGGCTGACTCTACAATCTAGAAAGAACCGCAAAGCCTGGAGCCCATCAAAGTGCGGAATAGAGGTGTAGAGGAAGGTAACATCTATGGTGAAAATGTGGCACCTGGAAAAGGAGTTGAACTGGAAGGATTGAAAGTCAGAGATAGCATAGTTGGTATCCTTGATGTAAGACGGAAGACTAAGGACCAGGGGCTGCAGGATACGGTAAAAAAAATTGTCATCATCCTATAGTTCCTGTGTGTAAGTGACTTGTTAAAAACCTTGTTTCTTATGCAAAAACAGGTGAAATACGAATGTGTTCATGTCAGTAAGATGCAAAAAAAAAAAAGGTTCATCTGCTTATTTCTTTTATCTTACACAGAAAAGGGATGGCATCGGCTGGTGAGAATGGGGTCACCACACACAGTAGGAAGCGCACACACCTTTCAGCCAAGCTTTCGTCACCTGAATCTTCAAACAAAGAAGATGCACTGCTTTCTGCTGATTCACATCTACAACTTCCATCACAGGTTAGTGAAGGCTGCGTCTTCTGTTCTTTAGAAGCTTAGGGCATATGCTGTCAGCCATTATGTCAGGTCCTATTCCTTCACTTCAGTCTCCCTTTTTTTTTTTCATGTCTTTCTTATTTTCACATTCGTCACTACTTCTTCTCTTTATCATGTTCGCCCTTAAAAGGCGGTTGACTCAGTATGTTGGGATTTACAGCTAGGCTGTGATATCTACACCTTTTTGCCCAGCTAGCAAATCCTTAATCAGTCACTTTTTACAACATTCTTTTAATGAAGCAGAAGGCCTTTGTTTTTGTTTTCTTTTTGTAAAAAAAAAATTTTTTTTGTTTTCTTTTTGGTAGTGTGGAAATTGTGGAGACACAATTCAAGAATAATATTTGAAATAATGATAATTTGAAGGTTTAACCTCATTGGTAACAACTTATTGTTTATTTTGACAATTTAATAGCCACTATTGATTTTATCATTTACACAATTTAATCAACATGTTGTTTTTCTTTCTTTTTTCTTTTGATACGTAGGCAGGCATCTAGCCACTTCACCGCGGCGGTTCCTCTTGTCCTCCGCAGCTTCCTTTAATACAAAAAATTATATGCCTCTAACTTTACCTGAGGCATCTATCTCTCTCGAACCCAGGTCGTCCTGTCCTCCTCTCAGATTTGACTGACACAGTTGCTGCCACCTTGAACCTTTCCAACCACTCCCCCCCACCCCTGCTCTTCTTTCCAGAGGCAGTAGTGACCCACTTGGGAAAGCACTGCTTTAGAAAACCTCACAACCAACCTCAGTGTTTGTTGGCTTGTTTCTGGTTAAATTATGCAGCTATAAATTTGAATAGTTTGCCATTGCTGTCTGAGTGGACAGCTTTCTATATCAATTGTCTAAAACTGTGCAAAAAAACTGTGCTGTGAATCACCTACAGCCGAACTAAGCTGGGCATTTCAGAATTATAAACCACATTCATAACCCCCTAAAGCACAGACACCAGTACCAGGTTTAAAACTATCACCTGTTTCTGACATGTTTGTGTAGTCAAATAATTTCTTGATGATCTTTTCCTCAGAGTATCTACAAACCAGCTCCTTTCAGTCATGAGCCAGAAGCTTTGAAAATCAGATCGCAGGTTGACTACACAGTTAGAATTTCCTTGGAAGATTCAAAAGCTGGAACGGGTAAATTACTGGAATAATTTACTTGTGGTTCTTCTTTTTCTCCCTCTTTCTCTGCTTCTTCTTCTTCTTTTCTCCTACTGCTTATGTTGTAAAATGTCACAGATAGAAGTTAGATGTAATTTTGTGTTTTTTTTTACTAGTTGCCGAATGTCATACTGTTTTCTGAGGTGTTTGTTTTACTCCATCCGCCCCATCTCTTTGGTTGTTGGCCCGTTGACTTGTGGCCTGCTGTTCTCATGTAGTACGCTGTATCTGCTGGCTGATTTTGTTCTTTTCTGACCACATGACCAAATCATTTGATTCTTTTGTGGTTTGCCTTCTTATGGTTGTTATTATTACATCGCTGCTGGCCACCCCCCCCACCCCAACAATTTGTGTCATTTTGTTGCTGAGACACTTCCATACCATGGCCTGGCAGTGTCAGTAATATTCTCCTTTTTTTTTTTTTTTTTATAAAAATTGTTTAAAACCATCTGTATTTACCACTTTTGAGGTGTATGAAATTTGGGAGGGGGGGGGGGGGGGGGATCTGAGTCAAATAATTTAGAGTCACATAGATAGTGCAGCTGCCAGGGGTTGCAGATCAGAATTTTACCCCCAGTCCCCAACAGAAGAACCCACAACCACACAGGGTTTGAACCTGGATCTCTTACATGAGAGTTCTGTGTTCTCAACTATTCAGTCAATCGCTGGCTGCTGAAGATGAGGACGGAGCACATATGGGAATGCCCCGAGGGCTGTGATGTCAGTTCTTGACTAAACTCAACTCAGTTAAGTCAACCGCCCCAGGTTTGTACTATTCCCTTTAAAAAAATTTAATTTTTTAACATCTGCAATTTTATTTTTAAATCTAATAGTGTGGCACAATGCGACAGCTACCCCTTTCTGATTTGTATGATGTGTTGACTTATGCATCTTTCAAACCATTTAGATGACTTATTTGATTGTCAAATGACTTAGGAGCATTTGTCTGTAAAATCTTATCATGTAGGATTTTGTTTTGTATGTTTGTTTGCTGTTTGCTTTGCTTATTTACTTAACATCTATGGCTTATGGCTGTGTGTTCAAACTAGTTCTGTTTAACTTGCAATAATTTTTTACAAAGAGACATCATTGTCCAATTAATTAGCATTCCTAGTTTTCATTTGAGAGGAAAGACTTTATTGCACTGGCTTTTCATCCCATATGGCTTGGTCTCTCTCGGCAGAATGGCTAGCCCCCTGCCGAGAACGTCACACAGGGGCCTCCATAAAAATTGCACCCAAGAAGCAAATGGTGCAACCATGAAATGAGCCCACAGCCTTTAGATCGTGAGGCGGATGGCTTGACCACTTTGCCACAGAGACTTTCTTCATTGCAAATAATGTACCATACAGTCTTATAAAGATAACTAAACATATTCTTCTTTTTTTCTCCAGTTACCTCATCAGTGTGGGGGGCAAATTAGTGCTCTGTATATTGTGTTGTATAAGTTGATATTAATATTTTAAATGCTGTTCTTGATTCTGTTACTCTATCATATTTCCTAAATGTCGTTCCCTGTTACAGTCAGTATCGGAGGGCCACAATGTCTTACAAGTTCCTTTTTAAGGACTTCTGTGACCGGTGAAGTCTCATTCTTTTTATAATTTCATTTTTTTTTAAATTTTACCTTGTGTTGTTGCTACAGCTACTCATCTGAGACATCTTATTTGTTGTTATCATCTTATCTGTTGTTATCATCTTATCTGTTGTTATCATCTTATCTGTTGTTATCATCTTATCTGTTGTTATCATTTTGTGCTCAGTAGTTTTAGTAAAAGAGTAATAGAAATCTTGGAAGAAACTGACACGTGAAGAGAACTGGTTGCCCACATCAGAAGGAGACAATCTGCATTCTTTGGTCATGTCGTGAGAAGGAGAAAGCTAATACATCGTGACAGTGGAAAAGTTGGAGGGTAAAAAAAGGCAGAGGGAAAAAACCAAGAGAGCAGATGCTGGACAGTTTGACATCATGGCATAGAAGATCATCAGTGTCAGAATTGATTTAAAGTATACGAGACAGAAGGTTGTGGATAGACATGACTACCAACGCCACACTGCATAGACTATAAGAAGACGAAGTTATCATAAGCATCCATGTTTGACACTGTAGCACTGAGCCACACTAAAACGTTACAACGGGTATGAAGCAAGTGGAAGATCTCGGAAAATATGGAGTGATGGCATTAAGAACAGCCTTACAGAAATGAACATCAGTCTTAATAGTGCTCTTGACAGAGCTCATAAATGAATGTTACATCTCCCCCCGACACTTCGATGAGGTACAAGATGGAAGAGAAGAAGTAGAAGCACCGAGTTAGCTAACAATAATTCGTATTGCATTTGATGATGATTTCTCTTTTTCAGTACCAAGAGCGGTGAGAATCTATGCTGATGGCATTTATGACATGTTCCACATGGGACACGCTCGTCAACTTATGCAAGCCAAGAATGCATTCCCTAAAGCTTATCTCATAGTCGGAAGTAAGCCATGATGGGTTTTTATTATTTTATAATTACTGATGTTGTTTACTATGACATCAAAAAAAATTACTGATGTTGTTTATTAGATCTAGTCAGAGAGGCAATACTTCTTCATCTTAAAGTCAATGCTGTATAGTCTTGGTAGTCATGTCTATCCACAGCCTTCTGTCTTGTGTACTTTCACTCAGCCATGACACAGATGATCCTCCATGCCATGATCCAGCATTTTTTTTAATCTTGGCCTGCCTCTGCCTCTCGTCCACTCAAACTTTTCCATCGTCACGATGTACTCCAGTTTTCTCCTTCTCATCTACCTGACCAAAAAATGTAGATTGTTTCTTTCTTATGTGGGCAATCAGTTCTAGTTGCAGTGCAGAATAAGAAAAAAAAAAAAAAGAAAATCTCCAGGATGCTAAGATAAACCAGTAAAGGTTAAAGATGAATTAGCTAGAAAGAGAGAGAGAGTGATGTTCAAGCGCTCCATGAAGATAGCAATTCTGTAAGGTACTCTCTAGTAGAAGTTTTTTCGCCAGGGACACTAGATGAGTATCGTTAATTTTATACATTAGAGTCCTATGTAGTCACTTCATAGTTAGAGCCTATTTGTGTATGTGTACTGTGTTGTCCTTTATGTGCTGATGGAGGCTAATCGCCGCAACGTCCTTTGTTTGTTTATTGTGATCGATTTTGTAAAGCTAACATAAACTAATTGTTGTTTCTTACCAACTTTTTCTCTTCCCTATAATTTTCTACTCCTTATAAAAACTAGTAGAAGATAACTATGTTGTTTATCTATTGAGGCACTTAATGTTCTTCTAAATATGGAAGTGTGGTTACAGTTCTATTTAAGACCAAACTCTCTGAATTATGAGATCTTTGCGGCGCTCAAGACATGTCGATGGGTGCATCAACGTTCTGCAGTTAATAAAGCCAGTCCTCTTCTGTTTGACAAGACTTTCATGTGTGCATTGTGCATCTCCTGTCTGGCTGGCTTATCTTTACTCCTAGTTCTCAAATTTTTAACTGTGTTATAGACACACTGCTCCCAAAATTCTCAGAACGCCATATGCTCCCAAAATCCTCAGAACGCCATATGCTCCCAAAATCCTCAGAACGCCATATGCTCCAAAATCCCCCGAACGTCATATGCTCCCAAAATTCTCTAACTCCGTATCTCTCTAAAGGCATTAACAGTATCGACATGATTCGTAGTTTGGCCATCTGCAACTACGGCAAAACTGGCTCATTTATCAACTCTTTCATTGCCAACAGTTCTTGCACTATCTGTTTTGAATGAGACTAAGTCATAGCATCCTATCTGTGTGGATTTGAGGCTCTTGGTGTGGAAGGGAGGGGTAGAGTTTGAGAATATACCCAATGGCGCCCCCCCCCCCCCCCCCCCCCCCAGGCATGCCATAAAATGTGACTCATTAGTGTTTTTCTTTGAAATCAGACGTCATCTGCCTGAGAGGCGTGGAGCCAACGGTACAGGTAACTCAAATCTTTGCACACACAAGTCAGGTTCTGGAACAAGAGGAGTCCAGATGTGGATGAGCAACCAGAACTTTTGTCTGGGGTTTTGCAGCTGGTGAAGACTAAGAAGAAGATGATGACAACCTATCACAAACATCAGAAAGAGGCAGAATCATTTTTGGGCCACACTTTGAGAAAATAAGAACTGGAACATGTGGTAGACGTGTGAAGCAGGCATATAAAAGATAAAACAGGACCTTGATGTTTTATCACAGTAAAATGTATTTATTATGTAAACAGAAAGTGGCTAGAAAAGCTGATTGTGAGACGTGGCTACATGCCCAAATTGTGGCCTTATGGAGACTCAAGGCACATTATTAATTAGCTCTCTCTCTCTCTCTCTCTCTCTCTCTCTCTCTCTCTCTCTCTCTCTCTCTCTCTCTCTCTCTCTCTCTCTCTCTCTCTCTCTTTCTGTCATATTATCCAACTCTTTTTGATTGACTGTCTTCTAATCATCTCATTAAGGAATAAACTGGTGAGGAAAATTGAAACAAACATTAAATACTTGAGATCCAATTCTCTTTTGTTGATAAATACATTTTTTTCATTCCAATTTGTATTAATTTTTTTCAATAATGACCAGTTCAATTATCCTTATCGTTAATCCCAGCCCCTCAGGATTTCAGTTACTATTTAAACATTGGGTGCCCTAATATAACTGTTTTATATAGCTGAACTATGTTTCCGGGATTTATACCTGTTTGATTCTCGATTTAATCATCGGGTGCCCTAATAAAAGTGTTATATAGTTGAACGGATTTTCGAGATTTGTTCTTGATTGAGTCTCTGTGTAACAACTGGGTACCCTAATATGACTGTTTCATATAGATGAATGGGGTTTTCAGGATTTGTACCTGTGTGATTCTCATCCTTGAGGTGTGAATCCTACAGACTGCTCTCCTGGAGAGGAACAGTTATCTACCTACCTTGAAACTACAAAGATGTAATGGCAAATGATAGACCAGTCTGAAGTAAGAGAGTCCATCTGAATTTTATTCATTCACTTTGTCCATTAAACTTTCATCCCTTCATTCCTTCTTGCATTCCTTTACTTCTTATTCCTCTTCTTTGTGTTTACTGGCTGTAAACGTAATTTTTGTTTGTTTGTCCACTTTTGGACTTTTTTATTGTTCCAGAATTGAATGTTGTGTGCATATCTATTTTACAGTTCTGGCTTATTTGTATGCAGACTGTTGGTTCACTGCCTCTCAGGCAGATGCACTCCAGCTTCAAAGGAAACTCCCTAGTTTGTTGACTTTTACTTGTGTAAAAGCCCCGCAATGGAGCTCCCTAAACCCACACACAAAATTATCTTGACTTATTTGTCTGTTTGTCCATTTATTTTATCTCTCATTCTGTTTGCCTACCTATCTCCACTACATAATGATATCCGTAGATGTTTAGTGATCATATGGAAACATCTTGCACTTTATGTCTTGTGTTTCAGTTTGTAGTGATGAGCTGACATTCAGGATGAAAGGGCGGACAGTCATGAATGATGCAGAGCGTTATGAGGCAGTTCGACACTGTCGATATGTTGATGAAGTTGTCACGGATGCACCTTGGACTTTGGACATGGATTTTCTCGATAAACACAAGGTAGATAATCAACGTTTGTTTCTTTGTCTTTAAATGACAATCAGTTGTCATGACATCATTCTCAGAATATCTTGGACAAAGAAGAGGAGAAATACTGACATCTTGAAAGATCTGAATATCAAGGAAGATTGGCTAATAAACAGCATCCTGTCTCGGAAGCTGAAATATTTTGGTCATATTAAGCGCCACGATGGGTTGGGAAAAATAATAGTAGAAGGCATGGTATCAAGAAGGAGGGACAGGGGCCGACCGACATGAAGATGGACACAGGATATAAGGGACTCCTTGAGTATGAAAGTTCCTGAGGCAGAAGAGCTGGCGAGAGACCGAGTTTCTTCGTGGTGAGAGAAACGTTCTGCAAAGGACCTGCTACATGATGATGATGTCATGACATTAAAGCACAGACCAGAATGGAGGAATAGACTGCATGCCCTGTGTGACAGTTATTGACACAACAAGATGATGAGGAATGATATTGTAATTGTATAGATATTCTGATTACTGTTGCAGATAGACTTTGTGGCTCATGATGAACTTCCATATGCAACCACCTCTGAAGACGATGTGTACCAGTTTGTCAAGGACAGGGGCATGTGAGTCTTGTGTATGTGTGTTCATTTGATTGGGGGAACCACATAAAAGGAGGGAAAGTGAGCAGGAGGGAAACCAAGAGAGCAGATGCTGGACAGTTTGACATCATGGCATGGAAGATCTTCAGTGTTAAAATTGTATATGAGACAAAAGGTTATAGATAGACATGACAACCAATACCACATGGCATAGACTTCTTCTTCTTCTACTAGTCTATGCCATGTGGTATTGGTTTTCATGTTTATCTATAACCTTTTGTGTCGTATACAATTCTGACACATGAAGATGTTCTGAGCGTCCCATGTTTGACACTTGTAGCATTGAACTGCTGAAAACAGCCGTTGTTTTTTCTTGTGGTCTTTACCTTTTGTGCAACAGTGGGTGTCATAATGTCTTTCCTATTGTCCATCTTAATGGGGACACTTCACAAAGCTTGGATAACATGTAAAACCTTGTTAACACAAATTCCAAGGGACCACAAATTGAGTTCACGTTAAAACGAATTCATGCGTTGTCTTCTTCTTCTTTCATTCGCTTGAAATAAATTATCTATATCTGCAATGTTGTCTCTAGTATGAACTTCACTGTCTTTTGTAATTTGTAAAGTTTGACTTGCACCAATCTTTCTCTTGGCCAAAAGTTTTGCCTTGATATCATGACATAGAAGACATTCATGCTGACTGCTTATTAATAACAATGATACATACCAGTGGGAAAGCAAATTTTTTTCTATGTTAACTGAGTGAAATGCAGATTGTAGGTTTCCTGTCTGTCACGCAGATGCACTCCGACTTCGAAGGAAGCCCCCAGCTAGTCGATTCTAATGACATGCTTGTTGGGGAGGCAGTGGGTCCTTTTTTTTCCCCACACATTGGAGTCGTGGAACCCACATGGGGTGATTTCTGAAATAATAAGATCCCTATGTGAGTCCTGGTGCTCTGTTTTGGAAGGGCAAATATAAGGGATCCAATGTCCTTAACAAACATTTGCAAATAGCAACTAATGAATCTGTGTTAAGTATAAGAATAATAAAACAAAGAACTGCACAGCAGGAGTATGCGTAGCAGGAGTCTCCCGATAATCAGTTGGTGATCCTCCTAGACCAACTGTTCTCATCCTGTGGGTTGCAACCCCTTTGAGGGTCGAATGACCCTCATAGGGGTCACCAAGGAGCATTGAAAAAACACATTCACCATGAGGAACTGTATTTAAGGGTCGCAGCATTAGAAGGTTGAGAAAACCACTGTCCTGGACAATCCCAGGGGGCCGTCCGACCTGGGTCATGACTCCCAGGCATCGGACTTCTCCGGCTGCGCTTATGTGTATTATATATGTTAAGGATATTAGCTCTCCCTCCTCAACAGCCAACGAAGAGTCTCCATACTGGTGGTACCCTGTGTCAAACTAATTAAGCAGTTTGCTGATATTGGATGTTTGGAGCGAAAGGTGCAAATATCACAGCCTAACTGTGAACCGCAACACAGAATGCAGGCCGTCTTTTTAAGAGCAAACACAGAAGAAAAAGAAATTATGTGAACTTTGGTCCGTCATCATCATCCCCATTGGGTCACCAGTTGCTGTTGACTGTCTGATCTGTTCTCTTCACCTTTTGAGGTCAGTTGTGATGGACTTTGTGGTTGCACACCTGTCCAGTCAGTCAGGTTCTGTAACCAGGTCTTTCTTGGTCTGCCTCTTCTTTTCTTTTCCCTCTACTGAGCCCTGCAGCTTTGTTTTTGAGAGGCTGTTAGATCTTATTACATGTCCATAGCATTGCATTTTTTCTCCTTTTTACTGTAGATCAAAGAGGTTTATAATTGCCAGTGTGGTGTATAATTATATGGTGAACCTCATCGTTTGTAATGAGGTCTCTGAATGATTTGCCAAGAATTTTTTTTGAAACATCACATTTCTAATGCTTGTATCTTTCTTTCAAGTTCAGCTGTTAAGGTCCACATTGCACAGCCAAATGTAAATGTACAAATGGCTACTACTCTGAGCAATCAAATCTTAGTTTTGCATGAACTTTGGTTAAATTTCCATATGCAATGTGATTTTGGCTGTAATACATTTGGTCTCTTGCAGGTTTTTGGCCACAGAAAGGACAGAAGGTGTTTCCACCACTGATGTGATCACCAGGATTATCAAAGATTATGACCTGTACATCCGCAGAAATCTGGCCAGGGGATACTCTCACAAAGAATTGAATGTTAGCTATATGAAGGTAAACGTAAGGGGATTTTACAAGACAGTTTTGCTTTCAGAAATTTGCCATTGCTTTCTGAATGGCCAGCTGTCCATATCTTTGTTAAAAAGTACAAAGTGGTCTGCTGCCAAATTATCTATGGCAGAATCACTTATAAACTGTCCATAACCCCTAACCACAGATGCCGATATGTTACCTTTGAACAGGGTTAGGTTGTAACATTTTTGTGTGTTTTTACCCCCACCACCACCCTTAATAAGGCAAGAATCCAGGCAAGAGTATGTGTCTAATTTTATACGAAAACGCCGCTGGAACTATGTCGGCCACGCCCTTAGAATGGATAAATCAAGACTTCCTTACCAAGCCCTCATTTGGACACCACAGGGGAAAAGATCTCGTGGAAGACCAAGGGAAACCCTACGTAGAACTATCATCAGGGAAGGCTCGCTCATGGGCCACTCAAACATCCAAGACCTACAACGGATTGCAACGGACCGCCGTGCATGGGGAGTCACGACCTCTGCCCTATGTGCCGCACTCGACACAAGAGGAAAGACTAACAAACTAACTAACTAACCACCTTTAAGTTTTTGGGTGGGTCAATCAAAGCCTTCTCTGTCTTCAGCATAAAAATGACTGGGGAAAAAAAAAAGATAGAGAAAAGAATGGATAGAGAAGGGTAAGAAAAACGTAGAAGTATACGTCAGCTTTACAAAAACACCCACAGTAAACAAAGAGAGGATGTTGCGGTGATTAGCCTTTATCAGCAGAACAGTGACAAAGAGGCAAAAAACAAAACTGAACTGACTGGAGTCACTGCATAATGGTATTCAAATTCTGTTCACTATATAAAGTGGCAGGAAAACACTGCAAGTGTTAACAGAATATACAAATAGCAGTGGAAGATATGGATAGAGTGGCAATTAAATAGAAATAGCAAAGAGATCCAAAAGAATTGCTCTATCTCAAAGAGAGTAATATAGAGATGAGGAAAGGCGAAGGCCGATTTTTAAGGGAGAAATGAATGTTGAATATAAGATATTTTGACTAAAGGCATGTTTGAAAGAAGGTATATTAGAGAGGTTGAGTTGAGTCATAAATTAACATCACAGCACTCGGGGTATTCTCATGCATGCTCTGTCTTCATCTTCAGCAGCCAGCACATTTTCAATACTGATGGTACCGGTCACAATCTTGTTATATGTCTGTCTTGCCTTTCCTCTGAGTGTGGTTAGTTGGCCAGACTCTCTGGTTACACCCAGATGCATCATTCTCTCCAGGCCAATCTTCTATCCTTTCTGATTCCGTTGTTTGTTCTCAAAGGGCCTTGACCACATCTGCCTTGTCATGTATCAATTCACATAACAGTGGTGCAGATCCAGCCAATCTGTCTGCCTGTTCATTACCCACCACGCCGGCATGACCTGGAGAAAAGATCGAAAGTATGCTCACTACCCGTGACCTTTCCAGTAAAGCTTGCCACTCTGCTCGAAGCATTCCTGTCTTCACCTTTCTTAGCATGCTTTCAGAGTCTGTTACACTTATGACATGAGTATGCATTTTATTCTCTAGAGAAGTGAAAGATGGGATGATACTTCAGAACTTTGCTGCTGTGACCCCTTTGGTACCTCAGTAAATAAACCAGATTTTTATTACTTTTGACAGTGTATTCTCTTTTTAATTTAATGAACATTTTTCTTAATTTTAAAATAAATCTTATAATATTTCACCAGTGACTGTATCGGCCATTCAATTTGGAAAACTTACAGAAATCTAATATCAGAGTGTTTTTTTTTCCCTCCAAATTAACCAGCAAGGTCATTTCAGCGTAATCCTGTTGCCCTGAGAAGCCATCAAAGCGACACTTTTGGTTGGATCCTTTTCTCATTATTTAATATAATGTACTACTTTCATTAGCCATTTCCAGGCATCATTGTTTGTTATTCTGGCAGTCCAAGGTATTCACAACATTGTTCTCAAGAACCACATCTCAGTTGCCTCCAAACTCTTCTTAATTTGTTTGAGCACATTCCCCAATGTTTACACCATACAACAGAACAGGCTCGATATAACATACATTTCATCTTCTGAAATGCTGCTTTTGACTGGCTAATTTTGCTGTTAATTTCCTTCACACATCGTCCATCTGCTGTTATGAATGTTCCCAAATATTTGAATTTATTGACTTGGTAAAGCACTTGCTATGTCACATTTTGGTGTTGTCTTGTTCTTTGAAATAACTATTGTTTCTGTTTTCTTGACATTCAGTGAAAGTTCCCCCCTCCCCCCTTTTTTGGGGGGGAGGTGCACTCTCTAGGACCACAATATCTAATAGTTGTAGGTAATCTGAGTTTTCAGCTTTTGATACTGTATCATCTGCATAACGAAGATTGTTTATATTATTACCTTCAACCGGTATTCCTGGTTTATCGTTGACCTTCCTCATGATTTCACTATATAGAGAGAAGAGATCCAGTGACAAAACTCATCCTTGTCTCGTTCCTTGCTTTATCTGTTTATAACTGCCTACTTTATTTCCTAATTTAATTGCTGCTACTTAGTTAGTTAGTTAGTTGGGTTATCATCATTGCACTCCGGACATGTCCATAGGTGCTCAGATCCTCCCCTCAGTATGAACCCCAACGCCGGATGGCTAATAGTACCAGTTCTATGTTGATTAACAAGTCTTCTGACATGTCCAATGTGCGTCTCGTTTTTTGCTGTGCCGATCTTAATTCCCAAGTCTGCCATTCTGGCGAGTGATGTGGATTCACTGCCACCAAAGTCCTCTATCCTTCCCATTTCTCTGAGGGCATTGATAATGTCAGCATGATCCATAGGCCGACCGTCGGTAGTGATAGCGGATCCAGCCAACCTGTCAGCTCTTTCATTTCCATCGACGCCTGCGTATCCCGGTACAAAAATAAAGGTGACTCCACGCACAGTGGACTTCTGAATTGATTCAAGCCATTGTCTTCGCACTGAACCTGCCTGAACCCTCCGGATAATACTCATTGAATCACTGAGTATACATATGCGGGTGTATTTTTGTGTTTCAAGCCAGGCTGCTACTTGCTTCCAATGAATACTGTTTTTTTTTTATTATTCTGAGATTTTTTCCATCAATGTTAATATTCTGCAACAGTCTTATAATTTCATTATGTTGCACTTTATCAAAAGCTTGCTTTGGTATAATCTGTGAAGCACAAATACATGTCTTTCTGTTTCTCAATTGATCTCTGCTAATGTTCGCAAAATGTATACTGCATTATTTGTACCTTTCCTTTCTACAAAACCATACTGCTCTTCACTAATTTCCAATTCTAATTTCTTTCTTGTTCTTCTCATTATAATTCTGTGTAACAGTTTGGTGACATTGAACCAGACAGCTTTGATAAAACCAAAGTGATGTCAGATTTTTCTGTAAGCCTCAGTTATAAAGGTCAAAGGGTCATGATATGACTCACCCAGTATTGTTTTTAGGCCTGAAGGAATGTATTGTGTTTAATGCTTGACTCTGTGTTTACTGATAACTCTCAACTATATAATTTGTGACCAGTGACCATAAGTAACCAATCACTTGAAAATGTGGAACATTTGGCATATCTTGTCAGTGTGGTGTCCCTACTGGGAGGGACAGAGGAAGACATACAGTCACGCCTGAACAAAGCTAGAACTGCTTTTGGAAGAATGGGGCAAATCTGGAAATCCAACAATTACTGCAGAGGAACAAAGTTCCGACTCTACAAGAGCATCATTTTGCCAGTTCTTCTTTATGGAGCAGAATGCTGGAGAATGACCAAAAAGGATGCACACAAGCTGTCCACCTTCCACCACACATGTCTACGTAGAATTATCAAAATTTTCTAGCCAGATACAATCTCAAACACTCAACTACTTCAAGTCACAAACCAAGAAACTTTAGATAGTATGATAACCAAGAGAAGATGGAAATGGCTTGGCCACGTTATGAGAATGAGTCCTGATATACCTGCCAAAACAGCTCTCACATGGACACCAGAGGGAAAGAGAAAATAGGGGCACCCAAAAACAACATGGAGACGAACGATGGAAAGTGACCTGAGTTCTGCATCTTTGACATGGAAAACTGCACTGAAGATTGCACAGGACAGGAAAGCATGGAAAGTCCTCTCTGAAGCCTCATGTGCCACTAGGCATAACGAGAACTGATGATGATGATATAATTTGTCAAATGTTCTTCTGCCTTTCTATCCCCCAATGGAGCATACACCCTCAACCAACTCACGCAAAGTCGTTCTATCCTTCGCCATTGAATGGAGCTTTCCCCATCTCCTCCCCCATCTTTCTAACTTCATTCTCCAGCTCTCTTCTCCATGTTTTTTTGCCCTTCCTTTATTCCTATGCCCCTGTGGGTTTTAATGCAAAGACATTCTAGTTATGCTGTTCTCCTGTTTTCTCAGTGTGTGTCCTATCCAACGACAATGTCTTTTCCTCACCTCTTGGTCCACTGGAGCCTGTTTAGTTCTCTCTCAAAGTTTTACATAAGTTATTTTATCATACCATTTAATTCCCTCTATTCTGTGCAGGCACCAGTTAATGAATGTTTGTAATTTTTTTAGTAATTGCCTTAGTTGTTCTCCATGTTTCCGCCCCATACAAAAGTGTAGGTACATTTTTTAAAAATCAAATTTTATAGTGACCTGTGTTAAGTAAGAGTAAAGTAAAGATACCTTTTTACGCCTTTATGCACATCGGGCATTTGGGAAAAGCACCCATATGTTTACAGACCAATCGGCACTAGTTGTATAATGTAGTCAGCATTCCGCCGACCGTCTTTACTTCCCCAGGACATTAGTCCTGGTACCCATTTCAGGCTGGGTCGACCTGTGATGCCCAATACCACGATAAAAATCCACACAGCCAGCAGTGGGTTTCGATCGCGGTTCGTTGAAATTACGAGTCGGACTCGCAACGCCAAGCCACAGGCGCCGCATTAGTGACCTGTGTTACGAAAAAAAAAATTCCTTTTTTAAACAGATTTTTTTTGGTGCGGAGAGGGGGGGGGGGATTTTTTCATGCAGTGATAACCTGTTTCTTTAGTGATAACAGTGCACCAGGATTAAAACTAAAATTCATAATCTGTAGTATTACTGAGAAGAAGCAGCTGAATACCTCATGTGTAAATTTTGACTGCCATAAATCTTTTGGGAAGCATTTAAACCATTGATTCCCAAACTGTGCACTACAATGCTCTAGGGAGCCGCAACCTCTTCGCAGGGGCTCCGTGAAATATTTGAAGATACACAAGTTCAATTGTTTTAAATCTCTTATATATGAATAGTAAGGGCGCTGCGGAAAAAAAGGCACAGCGACTAGGAAAGGTTTGGGAAACACTGATTTAAACAGTTGATAATTGTATATTGTAGGCTAAAAGACTCCGGTTAAAAGACAATTATGAAAGGTTGGAGAACAAGCTGAAGGATAAAGGCAAGAACTTAATGGACAAGTGGAAAGGGCAGCTTGACAGGGGCAACTCACTGTTACATCGATGGGAACATAAGTCCAAGGAGTTTATTGGCAATTTTGTGGATATGTTTGGCAAAGATGGCAAATTTGTAAGTATATTTGTTACATTGTCTCTTCCCTACTCTTCTCTCTGTCTCTCAGGTGACATTGTGTTCCTCTGTCTCCTTCTGTCTCTTTATTTCCATCCTCCTTCCTCCATCTTTACTTTTTTAGCTCCAAAATTAGGACCCATCAAAGATGTTGACATTGGAAAGTGGAGAGTAAGAAACAATACAATTCATAACCTTTTTATAAATTACTACTAATTATTGGCACCATGAGGTCTGATAGGCTGCAATCATTGGGAAATATAGAGGAAATGGAAGATAACAGAGAGATTAAACCTGCATACACAAAAGAGTTGATTGATAGATTGCAGGACAGACAGACCATGAAGACGGTGAAAGATAATATACAGACAGATCTGCAAACCCTTTGAGATCAGCTAGAAAGAGGAAGGAGGTGGGTGATAACGGCAGCAGTGAACCTCAAGGGCCCAGGATGCTGAAAAGATCTCTTTCTGCCTCCCTCTGTTGCTTTTATGTGTTTCATAATATAACCAGATTATAGAGTATCTTTATTTATTCGAAGTAACTTAATTTTTGGGGAAAAGAGATAACATTGTACAACTAATTAGCATTGTTTCCTTCGAAATCAGAGTGCACCTGGCTGAGATGCCACAAACCAACAGTCTGCATTCAAATAAGACAGACCTGTGAAACACATGTGCATGCAAAACTTGAGCTCTGGAATAGGACCGACATCCAGAAGTGGGCAAACAACCAAAACTTTACACCAGAGTTTACAGCTAATGAACGTTAAGTAGACGAAGATGTTCATTGATATTGACAAGATGTAATTTCTCTGCATTTTTTTTTTTCTATCCAGAGTCAGTGGATACAGGAGAATACTATGAGAATCGGCCGAGCCATGTCTCCATCTCCTTCACCTCTGCCAGAATCCCCGCCCTCACCTTCTACCTCAGACCCAGGAGCCAGCCCTCCTACAAAACGAAGCCGCTACGCCCCGCCACTGATTTTAGTGGAAGAGCAGGATTCTGACACAGATGAGGAGGACTATTGATAGCACATAGCCTGACATTCTCTGAGGGTTTTATTTATGTATATAACATAATAGTCTATGATGCAAGACTTGATTATAACTATGGTGTTGACCGACCTTCTGTGACACATGAATGTGCGTGTGTGTATGTGTGTGTAATATTATATATATATATATATATATATATATATATATATGTATATATATATATATATATATATATATATATATATATATATGTGTGTGTGTGTGTGTGTGTGTGTGTGTGTATGTATACTGTTGTCAGTAACATGGGATGTAAAGATAACTATAGAGGGATAGATATTCAACCTAAAATATTTACACTCTTGGGTAGTAATTTATTTTGTAAGACATACAGATGAATATAACATTGAAATAATTAGGGCAGAAACTGTGTACAGACATACTCCAGTATATGTCCTTAATCCATTACAGATTTTTGGTCCCAAGCAGATGGTCCCATAAGAAATCAAGGAAGAAGGGTTAATTCTTTCCCATGAAATAAAATTGTTATTGGCATATTTTATATCCATAGGGTTGTGTACGATACTTTAAACACTGCTTAATGCTAAAATCTTTTGTTGACTTGGACCATGCTGAGTCTCACAAGTTCTGGCATGCTAGTTGTCTTGAGAGAAAAAAAAAAAAAGGTTGAATATCAAGCAAAGTTGTACATGTCTAAAAGATGTATACCAAGGACTAGAACAATAGTTTTCTATTGGGCTGTAGGTAGGCACGAGAATCACTAGGCCCTGGAGGATGACTAGCATGGCTAGCAAGACCAGCGTGTATTAGAAAAAGTCTTCCACAGCTTAAGCATAGGATTTAAGGACCATTGTTGCCAACACAGGTATTTACTGTGCTACTTCTTAGATGCTGGGGTAGTCGCCCTTGCAAAGCATCCTTTGTTAAAGAATCAGATTTCTAGTTGTTATAGAATCAAATTTCTAGCTGTTAAAGAATCAAATTTCTAGTGCTAAAGAATCAGATTTCTAGCTGTTAAAGAATCAGATTTCTAGCTGTTAAAGAATCAGATTTCTAGCTGCTAAAGAATCAGATTTCTAGCTGCTAAAGAATCAGATTTCTAGCTGCTAAAGAATCAGATTTCTAGCTGCTGAAGAATCAGATTTCTAGCTGCTGAAGAATCACATTTCTAGCTGTTAAAAAATCAGATTTCTAGCTGTTAAAGAATCACATTTCTAGCTGTTAAAGAATCAGATTTCTAGCTGTTAAAGAATCAGATTTCTAGCTGTTAAAGAATCAGATTTCTAGCTGTTAAAGAATCAGATTTCTAGCTGTTAAAGAATCAGATTTCTAGCTGCTAAAGAATCAGATTTCTAGCTGTTGAAGAATCAGATTTCTAGCTGTTAAAGAATCAGATTTCTAGCTGTTGAAGAATCAGATTTCTAGCTGTTAAAGAATCAGATTTCTAGCTGTTAAAGAATCAGATTTCTAGCTGTTAAAGAATCAGATTTCTAGCTGTTAAAGAATCAGATTTCTAGCTGTTGAAGAATCAGATTTCTAGTTGTTGAAGAATCACATTTCTAGTTGTTTTCTAGCTGTTAAAGAATCAGATTTCTAGCTGTTAAAGAATCAGATTTCTAGCTGTTTTCTAGCTGTTAAAGAATCCGATTTCTAGCTGCTAAAGAATACGATTTCTGGCTGCTAAAGAATCAGATTTCTAGCTGCTAAAGAATCAGATTTCTAGCTGTTAAAGAATCAGATTTCTAGCTGCTAAAGAATCAGATTTCTAGCTGTTAAAGAATCAGATTTCTAGCTGTTAAAGAATCAGATTTCTAGCTGCTAAAGAATCAGATTTCTAGCTGTTAAAGAATCAGATTTCTAGCTGTTAAAGAATCAGATTTCTAGCTGTTAAAGAATCAGATTTCTAGCTGTTAAAGAATCAGATTTCTAGCTGTTAAAGAATCAGATTTCTAGCTGCTAAAGAATCAGATTTCTAGCTGTTAAAGAATCAGATTTCAAGCTCTAAACGCTGCCAGACTCCCAGCTATGAAACTGTTTCTAGGATCATCGCGAGACCTGTTTGAGCTCTGGTACACAGCTACCTGTGGTTCTGCACCTCTACATCTCAAACACAGTATGCATTCATTTAGGGGCCATGTTAGTGCAGTCGATAGGAGACTCGCTTTCAAATCCAGCTGCGGCTCGCTGCAGCCCACGGCCGGTGTTCAAAAACCGGGCGGTTCCCAGGGTTCACCCAGCCTCTGGGAAATGGGTACCAGAGTTTACCCTCTGGGGTAAGTGGAGGAACGTCCCTGTAGTTATGGAGTTACGCGCGAACGGCGACACAGGCGGACAGTTTCTTATCAGCTGCCTGTACTGGTGGCAGAACACCTCTGGTTTATAACCGTGTGCAATGACGCTGGTTCACATCTCCTAAATTTACCTTTACCTTTATTCATTTGAATAAACTACAGGCTGCGTGATTTTTACTTTGTGCGTGTGTGTGTGTTTTTTTTAAATACCTTATAAAGATGACATTGGCATTGGAACCAAAGTGCCAACCCTCTCCTATTGATATCTAGGAGGCTAAATTAAACAAGCATCTGTGGACATCCTCTTTCTTAAGCTGCTGTTCATCCATTTCATGTCATTTAAAATAAATTGCGCTCATCTGCTATTGCTGCCTGTATTTACCGCATTTGTGCTGTTGGTAAAGAGGGGTTGGGTTCTATGAGCCTGATGACTTAGGGCCACGTGTCTAGTGCTGTCACCATGGGCTATGCATGTTATGATTCTTGCTTTGTCCCTGACAGATGAAATACCCCCAACCTTACCTAGGATTCAAACCCAGGTCTCTTACATGAGAGCCCTGTGTTCGGCCAGCACTGCTCTTCTATTCAGCCCTTATTCATTATTATTATTATATCCCGCTTAAACAAGGGGCTTGAGACCCCTTCTTGCCTACTAGAAAATAAGTGTGCTGAGCCTCCCCCTCCCCCCTCCGGAATTTTTTTTTTGTTTTTGGCATCGTGCCGGGACTGAGAAGATGTATATATTTAACCCTGGTCAGATTGTTATGTCTCCATATACCAGAACTTCCTACACAATATTTATGGAACGGTCATGTTGTTTTTATGGTCAACAAATATGGTTAGGTTTATAATGTATCCATAATTGTCGCTAGTCATTGAATCCACAGAGCAGGTGTTCTGTATTGTGTATGTCAATTTTTTCTGGTAAGAAATATGCAATTTTTCTGGTCAAAAATACATTTTTGTTCTGGTCAAAAGAATATTAAAAATTCAAGCCAGTTTAAAAACAGTGTTAAGGATATCTTGTAATTTAATGTATAATGCTCCAAGATTTTTTTTACTCGACTTTTATGCTGAAAGAAAAAAAATCATTGTGTGTATCTTATGCAATGTTGTATTTAATCTATAAACGCACACAATGTTAGCCATTAGCATGCATACATTTTGGCTCCACAGACATAAGACAGTTATAGACTAGTTCATAATTGAAAAGTACTGCTTATGCAAGTTCACCATGTATCTTTTTCACAATACCCTTCACAGCTTAGAGGGAGCATTAGGGCTTATCTTTTTTTTGTGCCATGGATACAGTTTGAAAAACCTTGACTTGAACATCAGTTGGTAGATGTGAGGCTAGTGTGGAAGTAAATGTGAGGCTAGTGTGGAAGTAGATGTGAGGCTAGTGTGGAAGTAGATGTGAGGCTAGTGTGGAAGTAGACGTGAGGCTAGTGTGGAGGTAGATGTGAGGCTAGTGTGGAAGTAGATGTGAGGCTAGTGTGGAAGTAAATGTGAGGCTAGTGTGGAAGTAGATGTGAGGCTAGTGTGGAAGTAGATGTGAGGCTAGTGTGGAGGTAGATGTGAGGCTAGTGTGGAAGTAGATGTGAGGCTAGTGTGGAAGTAAATGTGAGGCTAGTGTGGAGGTAGATGTGAGGCTAGTGTGGAAGAGAATGTGAGGCTAGTGTGGAGGTAGATGTGAGGCTAGTGTGGAAGTAGATGTGAGGCTAGTGTGGAAGTAGATGTGAGGCTAGTGTGGAAGTAGATGTGAGGCTAGTGTGGAAGTAGATGTGAGGCTAGTGTGGAGGTAGATGTGAGGCTAGTGTGGAGGTAGATGTGAGGCTAGTGTGGAGGTAGATGTGAGGCTAATGTGGAAGTAGATGTGAGGCTAGTGTGGAAGTAGATGTGAGGCTAGTGTGGAAGTAGATGTGAGGCTAGTGTGGAGGTAGATGTGAGGCTAGTGTGGAAGTAGATGTGAGGCTAGTGTGGAAGTAAATGTGAGGCTAGTGTGGAAGTAGATGTGAGGCTAGTGTGGAAGTAGATGTGAGGCTAGTGTGGAGGTAGATGTGAGGCTAGTGTGGAAGTAGATGTGAGGCTAGTGTGGAGGTAGATGTGAGGCTAGTGTGGAAGAGAATGTGAGGCTAGTGTGGAGGTAGATGTGAGGCTAGTGTGGAAGTAGATGTGAGGCTAGTGTGGAGGTAGATGTGAGGCTAGTGTGGAAGTAGATGTGAGGCTAGTGTGGAAGTAGATGTGAGGCTAGTGTGGAAGAGAATGTGAGGCTAGTGTGGAGGTAGATGTGAGGCTAGTGTGGAAGTAGATGTGAGGCTAGTGTGGAGGTAGATGTGAGGCTAGTGTGGAAGTAGATGTGAGGCTAGTGTGGAAGTAGATGTGAGGCTAGTGTGGAAGTAGATGTGAGGCTAGTGTGGAGGTAGATGTGAGGCTAGTGTGGAGGTAGATGTGAGGCTAGTGTGGAGGTAGATGTGAGGCTAGTGTGGAAGTAGATGTGAGGCTAGTGTGGAAGTAGATGTGAGGCTAGTGTGGAGGTAGATGTGAGGCTAGTGTGGAGGTAGATGTGAGGCTAGTGTGGAGGTAGATGTGAGGCTAGTGTGGAAGTAGATGTGAGGCTAGTGTGGAGGTAGATGTGAGGCTAGTGTGGAGGTAGATGTGAGGCTAGTGTGGAGGTAAATGTGAGGCTAGTGTGGAGGTAGATGTGAGGCTAGTGTGGAGGTA